CCCACAAATTACTCGCAAAATAAAAGAATTCTCTTAGGAAATTTTCTCTAATTATTTTTCTAGATTTAAATCATCCAAATAGCTGACTTAATTATTAATCTAGATTGCAACAATCATAATAATTATCATTTATGAGGATAATTTGAAATCAAAATAATTTCCATAACGATTATTTGTCTTGATGTTAATTATCCAAAATTAATTAATTCAATTATTAATCTAGATTTTTAATAAAAATCATAATAATTATTAATTAATTTCTTAGGATGATTTAAAATCAAAATAATCCCATAATAACTATCATACTAGTCGCTGAAGACATAATAGCTATTATGCTCATGCAATCATACAAGTTATGCAACAATATGGCACCACCTATTCTATATGGCATGTTATCGCAATAAAGCATGTTATCAATCATATAATTTATACCAATCAATAAAAGCATTAAATAATAAAATCTAATTACTTTAATCCATGGCCTTCCTATTTTAAAGAAAATAAAATAAAATAAAATAATACAACTTTGGAATTCGACTTTCGCCTAGCCCATAGTATCTGTCTCAAGCCCCTTTAGGGTTTCATGGGCCCAAAAGCCCAAAGACCCAATCCTTTGGCGAGAAACCCTAGGACGCGAAAGAGAAACCCTAGCCGTCAGGTCTGCCGCGCCGTCACCCGAAGTCAAATCAAGCTGAAACTCCAGGGGAAGGACCGCCACGTATAGACGAGTGCACCGCCGCCGGAATCACCCAAAAAGGTGGCCGGACGCTCCCTCACTCTCCCATTCTTTGCCGGAGAGTGGCGGCCACTCTCAGAATCTTGTGGAGGCGCGTGGGGGCGCGTGTAAACTCAGATGGCGGTAAGCCATCCACCGTTGCGTTCGTCTTTCCGTCCTCTTTCCAACCATATATAGATCGCCTCATTCCGAGATCGGGAAGACCTCGAAAAGTCTCCGACAGTTCTGACTGCGCATCTTACTCGCGGTTTCTCGATCTTGAACTTTTACAAAATATTTGAAAAATACACAGAAATTCCAAAAATAAACAAAAACAGCAAGGAGGAAACCTAATCATATGGGATTAGCCTCCTTGTTACAAATCGAGAAATACACGAGAGACCTTAACCATGGATTAAAGCATTTTTACCGATTAAAATTTAATCTTTTATGAAAATGAATTATAAAATACACATGCTAGATTCATACCATAATCCTAGAACCCTAGGTGCCACATTTCAAGAAGCAAAACTAATTACATGAATAGTGAAACTAGATTCACATACCAATGTACAGCCAAGGCTCTGATACCAATTGAAGGAAATCTTAGATTTATGCGGAAGCGGTTTAGGACCTAGTACATTGGTATGCTTACCGAATCATCCTTGTTTCACAATTACCTCTCGGTGCGCAGGTCTCGTGTAGAATCTTCCCTTGTAGGATTCCTCTTCACGAACAGCTCACCTCAGCGTCGCAACACGAACAACCTCCTTGAAGCTGGACTGTGGCAGATCTTCCAAACTATCTCTCGAGGAGGAAGGGGAAGTGTGTGGGCACTGATTAGATTCAGAGCTTGCCTCTTTCTCACAAAAAAGACCTTTGAGGCTGATGACTTAAGAGGTACTATTTATATGGGTTCCAAGAAACCCTAGCTCATTGAGCTCTAGGTTCCTTGGGCTCTTCTCATACTAATAACCCATTTGGGCTTTAGTAAAAGAACAAACCCAACATGATTAAGCCATGCACAATAAGCGAACTGCATGTAAGTGGATTACTTTATACAAATCAGTACTTATAGCTCTAAATCGAGTAAACTAATGAATTGACCAAGAAGCTTAGAGATGTTGTTGTCACCATCACTATCAGCTATGATAACTGATAAGCTCAATCTTTGTTGTTGGATGCGCCATACCGTCGTTCTAATCACAACCCAATGCAGGCAGTTGCCCATTCAATGCAGCCAATAAGAAATCGGCAAATCAATGAATAAATATGCTAACAAGAACTGTGATCAGGAAGGGCTAAATCATTTTTCTTTTGGGTGAAAGATAGAAAGAGCTAATTTATTGGGATTAATTATTATTTTTTTGAAATCAAGTTAAGGGATATAAAAATAGGGTTATACTTATCTCATTTGCATAAGAGAAACAACTTTTTCACATACACAAAAGAAATGTGGGTCTCACTTTTTTTTTTCTCTCCTCTTACCTGTGGATCCCGCTTGTAGTTTTGTTTTTATAACATGAGATAATTATTTTCCTACCACAGAAAAAAATTGTTTTCCATAAAAATATTGAAAACATTTTGGGTTGACGTGTCTTTGTACCTTTGTTATCAATCCCACTATTGAGTGACACAAATTAGATAGGAGGCAGCAATACTAGTTAAAAAAAGAGGAAAGAGGAGGAAGAGAGCGGGGGGTGGGGATGATAACTTGAAGTTAACGAAGTGTTTGGGATCATATCAAGTGTTTTGCATGTCACAGATTGACTTCAATCGTAGGACTATAAACTTATTTGGGTATGACTTTTTGGTTCAGGAAAGACAAGAAATTATACATTTAAGATATTATTTTCACTTGTGTTAATCTTTCGATTGCTTGGTATTCTGATCCATGTGTGTAACCAAAAAAACTTGAGGTCTCGTAATTTCTACGAAGAGTGAATCTGAAACCGAATTAGGCAAGCCTGTTAGAGCTTTGAACACCAATTGATATATATAAAAAAAATAAAAACTTGAGGTCATCAATGCATGTATATGATTTTGTTTACGCAATGTTTCTCGTTTCTTATAGAACATATGGATATGCTTGTATAAATTGTGATCGGGACTGAGGATCATATATGGAATGAAGACTTTTTACAAGTTGTCTTCGAACATAATGTATTTTGACATCTTCTACCAGTTGAGTTCAATTATAGAACAATAAACTTATTTGGGTATATATGACTATTTGGTTCAGGAAAGACAAAGGAAATTATGCATGTTTAAGCTTATTTTCATTTGTTTTCTCGATCATGCTTATCCATGCATTTATATATGATCATTGGTCAGATAAGACATGCATAAAGGTATTAAGTGTTGACTGAGACATCTCCAAGTCTCAATAGTGAATTAATGACTTTGCAATCTTCTGTCGGAGTTCAAACTTCAAATCCAAGACCAACGTTAAACGTACCAATTAATGGCGGTTAACGAGAGATCAATACTCGGTCATTTTCAAACTGACATGTGTGAAATCTGAAGCCATAATTAATAGCCCTCAATTTATTAGTGTTTAGTTAACTAACTCTATATAAGAATCATAATCTCAAACTCCTATCTTAATAATTACTATTAGTTTATATTTATTTAGGAATTTATTTAATTTTAAAAACATACAATATTAATGAAGATTGACTCAACTCATACGATTGGACTGTTCTAACATACAAAGGTTTTAGTTTCGATTATGGACGTTAATGATCTTTTTTTAATAAGTCATATGTAAATATCCGAGTAAACAATTATAGCAAGGATAACGTAAGAATAAAAGGTACAAAAAAAAAAAAAGGAGAGCGTAAGAGTAATTGCATATTTCAAAATAAGTTATTGTTAATTATAAATACATCACCTCTTATTATATATAGACAAATACGGAATATGCAACATTGATTAGTAATATTCTTATGCTAAATTAGACTCAATTTCTAGCTTTACACTTCATGGCAAGGGAATATAATATACAGAGAGATTTTAGTTATTACTGGATTGAGTTTTACTTTAATTTATTATTAATGTAAAAAGGTTTTATACATGTATCTAATAATGTATTATCACATCATTTAATGAGTTTAACATAATATATAGTTATTAACATAATTAAACTCTTTGACTGAAGAGTCAACAAAACACTATATGGTAATACAAAAAAAAATTATAAATTTTATACCGACCATATATCAAATTAAATTAAACTATATTAGATTATAGTCACTTTGGCATGATGCATTATATTCTATACATATCCTTAACCAATCCGTGCAAAATTGCAAATAGCTAGCTTGTATTTGGTGCATCTACTCTTTCTTTTTTCTGCAATATTATATCAAAGTATTTATTATAATTTAAACTTTTGGCGGTCTACTTTTTAATAACCCGAACCATGCTCAAGGCTTTCTACAAGTGTATTGAATATATATGAAGCTTATTTCCCTTAATAGTAATTACCTTAAATTAGAGAGATTTTTATTTCTATTAAATGCTAATCTGCGAGGTACGAATCTTCAGGCCGAGTTTAAACTGTAGATATAATATACGAAACGAACCACAACGCTCTCTTTATTTTAACTAGTCTTTTTGGAAAATTTTATTTGTTACCTAACCAAATTTTAATATCTTGCAGTTCGTACAACCAAACACAGTTGTCTTTTTCCCCATTTCATTTCTGTGTTTTAGTCACTCCAGAATCCAGATATATATATTTACACCTAGATATTATAATTTTATGTGAATATTATGGGCTTCTCTTCCCTCATCTACCAAATTTCTTCATTCTTAAATGTGGATAGCTACATTGGGTAAGCTACTACCTGTGCATTATAATTAGTGGCTTTTCATTTAGTTTTAATTATAATTCTACAACTTCTGCAAAAAAATTTTATCACTGCGTAAAGTAGCTGTCTATAATATATAATATATATCTCAACCATTTGAAGAAAAAAATGTTGATGTCGGGGCCTTGGTGTAGTGTAGAGACTTATAGACCAGGGAAACTCTTTCTTACACATGCCCAAGGTGTGACTAGTGCTTGCTTTGTTTCTTTGTAATAAAGGTTGACACGAAACCTTCAAAGAGATAAGTTTGTTGGGGGTTGAGCTTTAGTTTTTGAGTATTTGACATTTAGGTCTTAAGCCTCATTTCCTCTCACAACTCAATCCCTTTCTTATAAAGTACTGTGTTTGAATTTCAAACCCATCAAAATTCTTTGTAACTCCACTCTCTCTACTTCCCTTCTTTCTCTATCTTTCTTTCTCTCTCTTTAATGGAGTTCCTCACTATACTTTATGTTGTTACAATGTTGTACTTATGTTTTATGATCTGGAAGTTGTTTGATCAGAGAAGGGACCAAGAGTGTTACATATTGGACTACGAATGCTACAAACCAAGCGATGATAGAAAGCTTGGAACTGATTGTTGCGGTAAGATCATAGGAAGGAACGAGAAGTTGGGTCTGAATGAGTACAAGTTCCTCCTCAAAGCCATTGTTAGCTCAGGCATTGGGGAGGAAACTTATGCCCCAAGAAACGTGATTGAAGGTCGTGAGGCAAATCCAACATTGAAGGATGGGATCACAGAGATGGAGGAGTTTTTCCAAGACAGCATTACGAAGCTTCTAGCAAAGACAGGCATTTCTTCCTCACAGATCGATGTACTTGTGGTAAATGTTTCTATGTTCTCTACTCTTCCTTCCTTAACTTCTCGAATCATTAACCATTACAAAATGAGGCAGGACATAAAGTCTTTTAATCTCACTGGGATGGGTTGCAGTGCTAGCCTTATTTCTTTGGACATTATTAGGAGCATTTTTAAGTCCCAAAAGAACAAGTGTGCTCTTTTGGTGACTTCTGAGTCTCTCAGTCCAAATTGGTATTCTGGCAATGACAGATCAATGATTCTTGCCAATTGTTTGTTCCGGGCTGGTGGCTGTGTCATTCTTCTGACAAATAAAAGGTCCTTAAAGCACAGAGCTATCTTGAGATTAAAGTGCTTGGTGAGGACTCATCATGGGGCTAGAGAAGATGCCTTTAGTTGTTGCAATCAAAAGGAAGATGAACAGGGTAGGCTTGGTTTTTACCTTGGTAAAAATCTTCCCAAGGCAGCTACAAGGGCTTTTGTTGATAATTTAAGGGTGTTATCACCCAAGGTTTTGCCAACTAGGGAGTTGCTGAGGTTCATGATTGTGTCCCTTATAAAAAAGCTGAAGAAAAATAGTTCCCCTAAGTCTGCCAGTGTGGGATTTACCAAATCCCCATTGAACTTCAAGACTGGAGTTGATCATTTTTGCCTCCACCCAGGAGGAAAGGCTGTTATTGATGGCATTGGATTGAGCTTGGATCTATGTGAATATGATCTTGAACCAGCTAGAATGACACTGCACCGTTTTGGGAACACATCAGCTAGTAGCCTATGGTATGTGCTAGGGTATATGGAGGCTAAGAAGAGGCTCAAAAAGGGTGACAGAGTCTTGATGATAAGTTTTGGTGCTGGCTTTAAATGCAACAGCTGTTTGTGGGAGGTAATGGGGGATCTGGGGGATAGAAATGCCTGGGACGATTGCATTGATAACTATCCACCAGAGTCCTTGGCCAACCCTTTTATGGAGAAGTTCGGTTGGATCAACAATGTTGAGGATGCAAGCACCTTCAAAATTTCAGATTTTCTCAAGTAAGGTTATATATCTTATTTTACACAAAGGAAGAAAAAAAAAAAGAAATAAAGAAAAAAGAGCAGCTCTAAATTTTAGATCTCCTAACATGGTATCAATGTTATTATGCATGTGGATTACATTTTTCTGTAAAACTATACTTATTGTTGTTGAATCCCTCACGGGTTCATTGCCCAATAAGGTGTGCCGTTTCTAATATGACTGAAGCTTGTCACACTGTTAAAAGGGTATTATTGTTTCCTTAATTTTCGTAGTTTTTTATTTATTTAAATAGCATGTGATATTAATTTTCTTTTTTGGCAAATATTAAGAACAAAAAATCCTGTACTTCTTTTCTTTTTTTTAAATAAATAATTTTCATTAATCCCTCGTCAACATATTGGATAGAATGGTAGATTGATGAGTTTTGATGGGTTGTGTATATATTCTTCCTTTCTTTCTTTATTATTTGTAAGAGAAGTTTAAGAGGTAAAGTTTCAAGGTCAACAGTAGATGAGAACTCAGTAGGTTGGAGTAAGTGTATGTGTTTCATCCTCTCCAATATCATATTTGATGAGAGAAGTTTAAAATTTTAATTTTAAATCTGCCCTGAATCGAATTAGTCGTAAAAAATGAACTGATTGAAATATTATAAAAAAAAAAAAAAAGTTTCAAGGTGACGTCATGCTTAATTTAACTTACACTTGCATCATCCCTCCCTGTCAATGTCAATTTCCTGTAAAACGAAAGCCTGTTTTTCAAGTGCCTCTTTTACCGTTGCATGCTATTTTTCTTGATAGCAGTTTTATGAGGCCAGCCATAGAAGGTGTAAAAAGTAATTATAAATAGCAGTATTACAATTTTTAAAATTTTGAACGGTTTACTGCCAAAAAAGAAAGGAAGAAAGGAAAAGGAATATTGAATGGCCAAACCATCTTACTTTATCTTTCTCAGGTACAAATAGATAGGTAAAAAAAGCCTACGAATAATACTAATGTTACTTTTAGAAACATTAATGTTATAATATCGGCTGATATAAAATTATAACATTGTAGATTGTATACGAAGGAAATACGATTTTTAGTTTTATAATTTACATTGTGAGAAGAAAAGTGTTAATTGCTCCTTGAATGAGAAAGATACTGGTGAAGAACTTAAACTGTAAAAAAAAAAATCATCTAAGTAAAATTTAAGTTTATGTTACATTTTTATATTGTACGATCGAATTGATTAAATTTGAGTACTATGAAAAAAGTGTATACGATATCATTCCACTGGTGAGAAAGTGTCTATATATCCACGGCATATGGTAAAAGTATATTCGCCCACAATTTTTTTTTTGGTCCCTGAAAAGATAAGAATTTACAAAGAAATCCCTAGCTTCTAATGTGTTTTACTTCCATTCTTGCTGGGATACCATCCTCATGTTATCAAGCATAATCTTTGCGGCTGATTCTTCTCTCTCCACCCGTGTTTAAAAATTCGCTCCGGCCATCGACTCAGCCGAGGTCAGGAGTCACGGAGTCACAGGTTCAATCGGGGGGGGGGGGGGGTCAAGGGGTCACTATGCTGACTCGATTATATATATTAAAAAATATATACATATATACATATACATCCTGTATAAAAATATTAAAAAACAAACCACCAATCATCAAAAATTCAACATATACTTAACATAATTCACCAATTACAACCACAAGTCAATATTACATAACCTAATTAAAGTATCAAGATACCAAGGTACAAAACTCATATTCTAATGAGGTCACTACGCTGATCCGGTTCTGCCTCTTTTGATAAGGTCCCCGACAAAGGAAAATTTAAAGGAAGTAAGAATGAGTTTGTGTTTTCCATCGACGACCGTAAGGATTTCATTTGAATGGGTAAAATTCTTACCTTTTTTAGAAGATTCACGGCAGCGAGGTGAAGATTGAAGATGTTTAGGTCGCTAGGAGAGAAAATAACGATTAGATTTAGGTTTGCAATCATTTTTATTTTATTTTTTTAATAAAACAATGTTGTTTCATGAAAAAAAAAATTAAAAAAAACATGCAGTGACTCCCTTTGACCCCTTTGACCCGGGAGTCAATGAAACTCAGCTGGGTTTTAAAGGTCAGAGGGTCGATATGCATATAGGATCTAACTTGTGACCCCAACCCTCAAAGGGGAGGGGTCAAGGTTGACCCGAGTCAACCCAAAAAATGAGGTAGGGTTTTAAAACACTGCTATCTAGTGTGTCTTTTTCAATTGTTGCCAATGGTAGACAGGATATTGATTAAAGATTGAATTGAACCCCACAAAATCCTTTCCTAAAACTAAATGTTCTGGGATAGATTTGTCCGGTTTAAGCAAAAGTAGGCAAGTAGCCCTAACTTTATTATTATTATTATTATCATCCAGAATGTTTAGATTAGGGCCGGAAATTAATTATAATTTGGGTGATGGTACTAGGTGAATGGTGATGTTAGGTGAAAAAATTTAATGAGGAACTAAAGTTTATTACTTGAAATATATGGGGTAGAAATGGAAAACGCATAAAATATTTTATGACCTCCATGTGGTCACCCCCGAGAATTGCCCCAAAAGCAGATATATTGAAACGGAAAAAATCATATCGCAATGCGCTTCCTTTGATTAATCATGAAGGCAATAAATTGATGTTACCGAACATTCGGTAATGGGGAAAAATCAGGTGATGGACCCCCCACCGCCAGGTGGACACTTCAGCTACAACTGGCCTCAACAGACATGCATTAAATTTCCTACAGCATATCATTTTTACGGTCAGGGTTGAGTTTACCGTTTCGCTGTTTGCCCATTGTAAAAGTTCCAAACCGCAACCGTTTCAACTGTTTTAACTTATAAGATAGATTTTTTCCCTCAAAAAAAAAAACTTATAAGATAGATTTTATATAAATTTATATATAATATGCGAAAAATATTTGCTATTTTAAAAAACACAATTTGCTTAAAAAAAAACACACAATTTTATATCATTTTAAATAAAATAACATTATTTTGATATATAATTGATAATTTTTTACATTCTATATCCTTCACTTTCTCTCTCTTTCTAATTTTGTAGAGGAGAAAAAATATAAAAAATCATCAAATATACATCAAAATTACGTTGCTTTATTTAAGATGACACAAAGTACATCTTTAAAATAATAAATATTTTTTCACACACACACACATATATAAGGAAACATGAGTGTCCTTTTAAAGGAAACAAACTTATATTCTTTTAGCAGTTTTTAACTATGCATTCACGAGAAAACATAGTTATAATATTAAGAGTAAATACCATTTTTAGTCCCTAACAAAAAACACGATCTCCACTTTAGTCCTTTACAAAAATAAATTAGTCAGTTAGTCCGTAATAAATTCAAAGTGGACACATTTAGTTGAAATCATGGTCCTTCACAAATTCAAAAAAAGATCCATATTAGTCCCTCAAAAGGACTAAAATGGGTCCACCTTGAATTTGTTAGGGACTAACTGACTAATTTATTTTTGTAAGGGACTAAAGTGGGGATCGTGTTTTTTGTTAGGGATCAAAAAATGGTCTTTACTCTAATATTAAAGTTAGACTTTTTTACTTTTCACGTCAGCAGACAGCTTCTGAAGAGAGAAAATAAAAAATACAACTTTAATATTATAAATATGCATTTAGAGGAATGCATAGTTAAAATCATGGTTGTTAAAATCTCAATTTATCACTACGATTTTATATTTTTACGATTTTTTTCATTAAAATAATTTTACCAATGTTCCAAACGCTTTTATATTTTTGCGATTTTTTACATTACGATTTTACGTTTTACGATTTTTTAGCCCCCTTCCGATTTTAGTTAAGATCTCGATTTTAACAACCTTGGTTAAAACTGCTTAAAGGACATAACTAGTGTTATTTAAAAAAATACCATTAAACCCATATATATATATATATATATGAGTTCGATTTTTCTTCAGCTGCTATACGTGTAGTAGTGACAAATTTTCCATATATATAGGTTAAAGCATTTTGGGGTAATCATAACCATATACCCGTCATTGTTGCACGTACAACAACTTTAAATATGATTATATAAATATGTGTGGGGGTATACATTTCTACAGCTGCTGTACGTGCAAAAGTCAAATACTTGTCATATATATACGTAAAAGCATTAAATATAGAGAATCATAACCATACAAAAGATGAAAGCATTAAATGTGAGGAATCATAACCATACATTTGTCATTGCTATACATAAAACGTCTGTAGAAATAATTATATATATATATAGGGAAAAAAGTTTCTGATGTTACTTTAGATAATTTTGTCTAATGTTCATCGAAACGACGTCGTTTTGTGGTTGAAAAATTAAAAAATTAGAATGATAAAGACTATTATAACCTTGAAATAAATTAAAATTACAAAAACACCATGATTTCCGTCTCAAAACGACGTCGTTTCGATGAACATTAGATAAAGTTATCTAAAGTAACTTTAGAAAAAACAAACCCATATATATTATATATATATATATATATATATATATATATATATATATATCTCTTTGTGTGTGTGTGCGCTTATCGTTTCTTAAGTCACTTGAGATAACTTTATCTCCGGCCACTAAATTATAACTGTACAAAGACAAATAAATGGTGATAAAGGAAGAAAAAAAAAAGAAATCATAATCATTCAAAAGTGAATAAATTAATATAAGGAAATAAATAAACAAAACGACGTAATTTTAGGATAAACGGAAATAAGTATATCTCAAGTAACTTGATAAATATTTCTCTTTCTCTTTCTATATATATATATATATGAGGTAGGATCCTTTGACACCAGTGTCAAATTTGAATTTTGACACCTCATGTGAGAGTCATTAGATCACAAAAGATCAACGACTCTGATTTGTAAGCATGTGACACCATTGATCTTTTTTGATCTAATGGCTCCTAGATGAGGTGTCAAAATTTAAATTTGACACTGGTGTCAAAGGATCCTACCTATATATATATATAT